AAGTAAAGAAGAAGAAGAAATACTTAAAAGTTTTTTCTTCCTCTTCTTTTTTTTTATTCACCGGAATTCAGATTGAAGAAAAACGAAAAAACAAAACAAAACTGGCATAGAGTGAAAGAGAGAGAGAGAACAGTGATTTTAAATTAATTAACAACCATCCATCCATCCATTCACATTAAATTCCAGTTAATTCCAGTAAAGGCATCATCAACAACATCACCAACAACAACATCATGTGAAATTGGATACGGAGAATTATTATTATTTATTTAAAATCTAATTTTTTTAATGGTGATACTGATGGATGATGGTCTCTCTCTCTCTCTCTCTCTCTCTGTGTTTGTTTTGGTCATCCATCCATTTTCAATAATTACCGAAACAAAAAAGATTATCATCATCATCATTTTTTTTCTCCGTTAGTTTTCGCTGCTGTTGTTGAACACAAAAAATTATTTCAATGTTTTTTTTAGTTTCATCAGAAATTTTTTTCAAAAAAAAAACGATGAAAATTACGTAACATTTGGCTTCCATTATTGATAATGAAAATTTTTTTACTTGGAAAAACAACAAAATTTGTTTTCAATTTTTTTCTCTTGTGTAATTATCATTAAAGTGGCATTGGGGTAATTAATTTTCCCTACTGCTTGTTACACTCTGCTTATTGATCGATTATGTTTTGTTTGTTTTTTTTGCAAAATTCCAATTATCTTTCCATCATTGATCGTTGTTGTTGTTGTTGTTTTTGAAATTTAAAATTCAACTTTTTTTTTGTTTGTTTGTTTATGATGATCGTCATTATTATTATTATTATTTTGTTGGAGGGGGTGCTGCTGCCTATTTCGACCTATTCGACAAATGATGTTTTGAAAATAATGAGAATTTTTTTATTCATTACATTTTATTTTCAATGAAATTAACAGAATTTTTTTGTTTTCACTCAAACATTCCGTTAACACCCTGTATAATAATCATAACAACAACAGCAAAAAATGTAATTTAATTTTTTTTTAAATTTTCTGCTATTTTAACCTTGTTTGGGTTTGCTGTTGTTGAAATTTAATCTTCTTTTTTTTCTCGAGAATTTCATCATCATCATTATGGTGGTTGGAAATACCTTTAGGAATAATGAAATTGATCTAGATGATGATGATGAAAAAAAACCGCATCTAGTCATTTGAATGAAAGAATCTTCTTCATAATGATGATGATCATCATCATCATCATTAGTTTTTTCAATTGTGAATTTTTTACATTCGTTATTTTGTTTTGTTTTGTTTCAATTCTTGGATTCTAGAATTTTTTTTTGTTTCCCCTCATTGCAAATTTCGTAAAGTTCGTTGATATTTTTCGTTTTCAAGATTAGATTTGATTTTGAACAAAACGAAATTCTGATCATTTTTCTTTTTCACTGATTTTTTGACCGATAATTTTTGAAAAAAATTAGATAAAAATTTAGTGAAAATCTGTGAATGACCTGTAAATTGTTTAGTTTAGATTAGTTTTTTCTGTTTCAAGTTTTTGTCTGTTTATCTATCGTTCGTTCATCCACCGAAACAAAAAAATTATTCATCTATTTTCATTGTGGATTTGTTTGTTTGTTTGGTTTTTGTTTTCTGGTTTCTGGTAAAGGGCAATTTTTTTTGAATCCACTAAATGGTCGATGACATATTTACACCTACACTTTTTTTTGTTTTTGGAAAACAACAAAACCAAGTGCAAGATGGGATTAATGAAATTTAACAAAGGTGTGTGTGTGTGCGGTGGAAATGGGTAACATTTTTTCTTCCATTGAAAGTCTATTGATGAAGAATAAAGAATCAAAAAGTCAGTGGATTATATGGAAATTTCTTCATCATCATTAGAGTGCATTAATATGAATCTAATTTAGGGTTAAATTTTTGTTTGTTTTGGTTTAGATTCCGTCAAACAAAAAACAAAAAAATTAACCTGGTTTTAAAGAGTTAATAAGAAAAAAAGAAACCCAAATGTTTCTTTAACCAGAATCCTTTCTTGTCAGACAGATTTTGAATGACAAAAGACAGAACTGTTTTTTTTTTGTTTGATCCCTTGTTTTTCTTCGAATTGTGATTTCATAACTTACCTGTGCAAATCTTGTTGCTTTTCTTTTGAATTTTCTCTTGTCAGACATTTTTTAATGAATTATGGATTTTGTTTGTTTGTTTGTTTGTTGTTTCCAAACAATCAATTATCATCATTCAAAGAAGAAAAAAAATCGAAAGAAAATAATTCATTTTCATCAAGAAACTTCTTGGGAAAAAAAATCGTGGGAGTTTGTGTCTCGTTGTGTGTGTTTAGTAGCTCTATTTACCAAAGTAATTTGATACAAAAAAAAAATGAATTTTCCCGTAAACTTTCTGTTTTGTTTGTTTGTTTTCAATCAATTTAATTTATTTATGTTTTTTCTTGGAAATTTCACATTGCGGTCGGGATTCAGGTAACCCGATTGATTTTGAGTGGTAGAAAAAACAAAAAAACTTTACTGATTATAAAAAAAACAAAAGAATTTTTCATTTCGTTCAAAGTAGATTAGCAGTTGTGGTGAATATGGTTGGTTCAAATTATCAAATTTTTTCAAAGGAACAATGGAACCTTTGTTTTTCCTTATCACTAAAGATGACAAAAACAGATTTTTTCCAGGGAAGTTTCTCTCTCTCTCTCTCTCTCTCTCTCTCTCTCTCTCTCTCCC